TGTTGATATCGAATACGCGAAGGGACAGATAGATAAGTAGATGAGAGTCCCAATACTTCTGATGGGAGCACAAGAAAGGACACCACATGCACAGGTAAAGAAGAACTTGACAAACACTCAGCACTAACGACAGAAAACTCTTACGGATGTTCTACAGCCCTTGAACACAATGCAGAAACGCCAAGCTAGGTGGTAGAGGAGAAGGAGACAAGGCGCGGTCTACGCGTTTCACATGGCGGCCAGAAGCGACTGCCGCTGAACGACATTCTTGGCACTCCTGGCTTAATCTCGACTACTTTTCGATACTCAATCTACTCAACACAGATCCACAAAACTCTCCACCAAACGGAACATGTCCGAAGAAGCATTTGCCGTCAAAATAGCAAAACAGGACCGAAGGGACAGCTATCCGGCGTCCAGGCGTACTATGACAGTGGCCGTGCTCACTTCGAGATACACGGCTTTGCCATAATTGAAACAGGCCCTAATCCACACGCCCGAAACCAGGAGCAGGGAACAGTCCTCCGTCATTCAGCCACGTCTGGGACGAACAACTGTGCATCCTCGCTTGGGAAATGCGGCCTTGTCCATGAACGAGCGCCTACCATGATTGAATGGTATAAGATTGAGGTTCTGCCTACTGGCTGTACCCTCTTCCCTCCTCAGGCCAGTACCTCTCAATTCATTGCAGTGCAGCAACAGTTTTCGGTTTTCGAACCATCCACTCGTTTCTCATCCAGACCGGTTCTGTGATATCTCCCATTCTTTGAAAACTACCATCCATACGTTTAGCATTCAACTTTTCGCCTTCAGCATCACGATCTTTCCACCCAGGAAAACTATCTCAGGACAACCAACGCCAAAAATGTCTTTCCTTCGGACTGCTGCCCTCGTAGGCTCCCTCGTCGCCACGGCTGCCGCTCACGGTACCGTCCAGGGTCTTGTCGTTGACGGCACCTACTACACTGGTTACAGCCCATCCTTCCAGTACCAGAGCCCTCCCCAACCGTCATCGGTTGGTCCGTCCCTGACGACCTGTCCAACGGTTTCGTCTCCGACTACACTAGCCCTGACATCATCTGCCACTTGAACGCTACCCCCGCTGGTACCCACGCCCCAGTCAAGGCTGGTGGCAAGGTCGCCTTCGAGTGGACTGTCTGGCCAGACAGCCACCACGGCCCAGTCATCACCTACCTTGCCAAGTGCCCTGCCAAATGTGAGGATGCCGACAAAACCACTCTGAAGTGGTTCAAGATCGACGAGGGTGGACTTGTCAGCGACACCACCGTTCCTGGCACCTGGGCCTCTGACCAGCTGATTGCCAACAACAACAGCTGGACCTCTACCATCCCAAGCGACATTGCACCAGGCAACTACGTCGCTCGTCACGAGATCATCGCCCTTCACTCTGCTGGCACCGCCGGCGGTGCGCAGAACTACCCTCAGTGCATCAACCTTAAGGTCACTGGTAGCGGTACTGCCGAGCCGGAGGGTGTCCTCGGTACCAAGCTCTACACAGAGAACGACCCAGGTATCCTCATCAACATCTACCAAAGCCTGAGCACCTACCAGATCCCCGGCCCAACTCTCTATAGCGGTGCCGCCACCGCTGCCCAAACTGGTGTCGCCTCTGCCACCGGTGTCGCTACCTCCGCTGCTGCTTCCTCCGCTGCCGCTGTTACCTCCTCCTCAACTGCCTCCTCCAGCGCCGCCGTTTCCAGCAGTGCCGCAGCCGTGACCTCCGCCCCAATTGCCTCCTCCGCCGTCGTTACCAAGGTCGTGACCACTTCCAACGTTGCCTATGCCACGGATGTCGCCACCGTCACCGCTGCCGCCTCCGCCGCCGTCTCCTCCGTTGTTGCCCCAATCGAATCCCTGACCGCCGCTCTTCCGAGCAGTGTCCTGACCGCCACCGTCACCGGCGCTGCCGCCGTTGCCGCCACTGCTTCCCCAAGCAGCACCGACAGCACCAGCTACACCCCAGAGAAGCCTCTCCCAGCTGGCGCCACCCTCAAGGATGTCATTGAGTGGCTCCGCTACCTCCTGAGCGAGATGTTCGCTTCTGACGCCAGCACCTCCACCGCTGCCGCCTCTGCCAGCCCATCCTCGTACAGCAAGCGTGCCCACGCCAGGGACATCATGCGCAACTAAACGGAGTCGCCGACTTAGCAGAAAATGGGGACCTGTGAAGGAAACACATGGTTGATGTTTCGATTTCTTAAATGGTGTTTGAAACGTACGAAGTGTTTGGATGTGGAAGTGGATTTACTGCACTGTTCCTACTGTAGCCTACTTACTTTCGATGTCTTCTATATTCAATCCATCGCAGCTTGCTGGATGGTTTTTGTTGCATAGCGGGGTCTACGATGGAATGTATGACTTTTCTTTCGAAAACGATCCCCTGCCTTGTGTCCCTGCTGCCAGTGAGTGAGCAGAAGCTTTCGGCGACATGAGCTGTTTGAGCAGCACTTCTCCACTCAGAATTCTGGCCCTTGGCGACATGGTGATCTCGGCTTGCGGACGTGAAACGGCGTCTACGGCACCATGAAAACAGCCCCTCCACTGCTTCGTGGTTGCTGTCAGAGCCGAAAGGCCGCACATGCTCAGAATAAAAACCACCAAAGTCGTAATGCTTTTTGCTGTTTGTCGGCTCACCACCAGCACGGGATGCTAGCCTTGCACTCTTACTTGGTGTCAGGATCAGGGATGGCGATGCACGGTTGTTCAGTAACTGAATGTACTGAACATTCGGCGATCTTTGGGTGCGGCCTCGTTGTAGTCGGTCAGACGGCTTGGTTGTCGAAGACTAGGAACACTGTGCAAAGGTGTCATTACGTCGTCGGGAGTGTTTGTCGTGTTGAGTAGATGGGAGATCGCGAGCGGTTCCTTGCAGAAGGTACAGGCGTTTCCAACATAAAATGATAGCGTATGCGATGCGCGTTTAGTGGTCGGACAGATTCCTCGGATTGGTCAGAATTCTATACTATATCCATGTCACGCCCTCCGAAAGGATTCACGCTTGTCTGCGCTTCCAAACAATCATCGAACATCCCACTTCACATATCCCGCCGAGAAACAATGTCAACACCGCGCTTGACATTCCTCTATCCCTTCCTGTTCGCCTCCACGAAGCCATCCGTCTCGCGCAGTGCATCTCGAACCGTAACCAGAGGCTTTCGGGCCACCTGCGGCGCACACCAGCACAATACCGTCAACCAACGCTATGGGACCGCCAACGAGCCTCCGCCTCATCTCGGAGGGGGACAGGCGATACCGATGGGCGCACCCAAGGTGAAAGATGCAGCACCAAAAGATGCAAAGGCACTACCTAAACCGCCTCCACCCCCAAAGAGAAGGAGCCACAGTCCCCATACTCATCCGAGCCCAAGGCGAAGGCAAAGGATACAAAGCAGGACAAGGGATCAAGCAAGGAGACCGAAGCAGCCTCCAAACCCGCTAAAGGCACCTCAACCGCCGCCGTCCTAGACGCAACCGAGTCGCGGCCCGCCGACCCTCCTCCACCATCTCCCCATCTCCCTCCACAAACCCGCTAGAGGCGGTCCTGCACATGCCGTCATCTGAATCACAAGCCCAAGCAACAGCGCCCGTATACTCCGACGAAGAAGGCCATGCACATGCCTCCCTGAACGGTAGCGACGCGCAAAAGCCCCCGCACATCTCCACACCACCGTATGTGCACCACTTCGACACCTACGGCCTCGTCCGACGGCTCGAAGAAGGCGGGTGGACGCAACCCCAAGCCGTCACAATCATGAAGGCCGTCCGACTGATCCTCGCCTCGAACATGGAACTAGCGCGCGAGGGTCTGGTGTCGAGAAGCAACGTGGAGAACGAAACCTACCTCTTCCGCGCCGCGTGCAGCGAGCTACGCACCGAGCTCACCACGAAGCGGAAAGCAGAGAGCGAGCGCCAACGCAGCGAGCGCACGCAACTGCAGCACGAAGTCGACATCCTGGGCCAACGCCTGACGCAAGAAGGCGGCAACCTGAAAGACGAGCTGAAGGGTATGTTCGACGACCGCAAAATGGGCGTTCGGAACGAGCAACGTGACATGGACCGCAAGATTCAAGAGCTCAACTACCGCATCACCGTTTCGCTGAACTCGGACTCGCGCTCCGAGGTCGAGGGGCTCAGGTGGGTGATTACGAAGCGCGCGATCACGGCCTTGGCCGTGTGCGTGACGATGATTCTCAGCTCGTTGAAGTTTTCGAGCAGTATGATGCATATCCAGGAGGAGGAACGGAAGAACATGGCGGCAATGGACAAGGAGGGGAAGGGGAAGGGGAGAGAGGAGAGGAAGGAAAAGGAGGAGCAGGTGATTGGGGCGGGTGAGATGTTGGTGCAGCAGGGGGACAATCCGGCATTTGTAAGCTTGGGTTGAGATCATTCATTCGTGAAGAGAGGTTTCTTTTGTATTGATTGTTTGGTCATTGTTATAGAAGGTTGAGGAGGGTCGAGTGGGTGTTTGTCGGAGCCCTGCAGTGATATACATGGATTGGCATGATACCCACATATAGATGTCGAGGGAATGACAAGAGTTGGCCTTGGCTGGCGGCTTTTTCTTATGTCTTTCTATCTCTTTTATTTACTGGTTTGATGCTGCCTACGCTTCGTTGACCGTTCTGTGGCGACGTGCTAATACGCTTTTTCAACAGGAGGTCATGACCGGCTCATGAACCGAACTCCAAGACGAACCATCTCCGCGTCACCACACTTGCGAGCCGAAGTGGTATGCCCTCAAGCAAGGCGTCGCGCGGGTTGAAGATTTGTTGGTAAGCATGTCGATATGGCGGGAACAGACACTTATCCGTAATCCCGAATTTCGGGATACTTCTGTATATTGTGGGAGACTGGGCTGTGCTATGCATGAGGAGATGCGAGAGATCGCTCTAATCGCCATCGACAGCTTCCACAGTGTCTTCTTTTCTAGATACGAAGAAGCACAACAAAGACAATGAGTGCAGATTGGGCCAAAAGAATGCGGCAGGCAGGGTTCGAACCTGCGATTTCTGCTTTGTCCATGTTACTAGGAGCATGCCGGAGCATGACTGTGAAGTAATGGGAAAGCAACGGCATGAACCACTAGCCCACTACCGCCTCTTTGTCGAATCACACGTTCTTGAAAGCAATATAAGCCCACGCCTCCTCAATGGTCGAATCTCGTTTTGGGGTAGTGATGGTGAAGCCTGTATGCAAGAAACCGTCAATCGAGGCCAGAAGTGTCCTCACCGCTGCGACAGCGCGCGGCTTCCTGTATGCATGGGGGTTATCGGATATAGACCAATTGTCAGGATGGACGATGTGCCCAGGGGAAAAGTGCAAAACCTCATTCATCCAACGGAAATCGGATATCAAGGTCTGTAAGAGAAGAAGGACGAAGTCTCAATCAGACCACGTTCTTCGCTCCGCAGTAGGCGCAGAAGGCAAGAGCCCTCATCACCATCGTGAGAGCATTTCGTGTTCCACTGCAAGAGGCTAGACATTTTCAGGGAGACCTGACGAAGCATGCCCCTTTGAGATGTTTGTAAAGAAGTGGACAAAGGACGGTGATTGACGTTGACGAGCTTGAGTCAAGTGCATCTGTATCTAGCTTACGTAATCTATGCCCCGATCGTCTACATCTCACCCAGGCTTCGTAACAACACAGTCTTCTACTTGCCGAGGTACTTACTGCAAGCGAGTGCTCAGCTCTTGTTCGCGCAGGCGCGATGCCAGTGCGTTCAGCGGGATGCGCGACATGCCGCCGCCGCAAAATCAGAGTGAGCTACGCCGTCCGTCAGACCGTACCGCGGACTTACACGTAGCTGTAGTGCGATGAGACGCGTCCAACCTGTCAGAAATGCGCTATCCATGGAGTACCTTGTCCCGGATATCGGACTCCTCAGCCTGGCGGTATCGAGTTTCTGGATCAAACCAGTCTAGTAGTGAACAAGGCAAAAGCTCGCGAAGCTCATCAGAACAGCTACAGCCCTCGATCAGCCTGTACTGCCTCGTTGAGCCCGAACAGCAGCACACCAGAGCCGGAAGCTGCAGTCATCCCGTATTCGAAAACTCCGGAGTCGACAGCATCACCGATTGTCTTCGAAGTTCCGAACGCCTTCCAAAATCGTCTGCAGACCTTCCAGAAGTTCCTCGAACTCTACACGCCGGAGGAGGAATTATTGCCCGCTGGTTTATGCCACTTCTCAAACATGGGCTCCTTCACTGAGTACTTACAGTCAAATCAGCCTGCGGTGCAAGCCGCTTTGGATACCTTGATGCTAGTGCAACTCGGTACCACCTACAATGACCCCCGATTTCTGTACGAGTCGCGGCGCCGATACGGAGAAGCGTTAGGAAGTCTGTCCAGGCTGCTTGTACAGCCTAAAACTGCATACATCGAGGACGCTCTAGCCGCGGTCTATCTACTTGGAAACTGCGAGGTGGGGCTTTCCATTATCCGTGCTGGGTACTTTTTCGGTTCTGTGAATACAGTACTGATCTTTGGAGATAGTTTTATGAGAACCTGCACCAGGAGGGTAGCTGGAATGCTCACATCTCCGGCTTGCAGAGCCTGTTTAAGCTCAGAGGACCTAAGCCTCTCAATACGAAGTACGAATTGATGCTGTTCCATCACGCAAGGCACCTCACAGTATGTTCGAGCTCTGAAATTGACGTGGATATCACTAACAAATTGCAGATCATTCGGGGCTACATATCTCGAAAGAGAAGCTTCTTTGAAGCGCCCGAGTGGCTGGAGATATCAAAGGAAGGTAGTCAAACTGACATGATGACACGGCTGCTAGACATAGCAATAAAAGTCCCCGGACTTCTGGAGGATACAGATAATGCCCTCGGCTCTGGCGATGAAGCTCTGGCGATGAAGGTCATGACCGACGTCGTAGATGCTTTGCAGCGTTTCCATCATTGGCTGACACGCTGGCATGATGCCATTGGCGAAGAATCGTATCATTTGCAGGACATTGAGGAATTCCCGGCTTTCGTGGAGACCTGCGATGACAGGACGTTCCCGAAGGCCTTCAAGTTCCGGTCTTTCCAAAACGGCTATCTTCATTGCAAATACTGGCTGTGTCGGTGTTTCCTCCAGAAAGCAATCATGGATCTTCTCGCACGGTATCCCAACTTGCCTTGTGCCTGGACACCGAAAGAGATCGATCAGGATCTTTTGGGAGATGCAATCAACATCTGCCAGGCCATTCCATACTTCTGCCAGCCGGCAGCATCGTCAACCGGCCGCTTCTCCACTTTCGTGCCCCTGCGATTTGTTACGTTATTCTTTGAAGCGCGGAAAATGCGAGCTCAGCAACGCTGGGGCGAGAAGGTCGCAGCAACCATATACTCGCAAGGAATTGCGCCGCCCTCACTACGTCAAGGCTACTTCCTCTGGCGGCCATACCTGTACGGAAAGTGAAATCCACGACATCCCGGAGAGCAGCGCAGGCAAAAACGAAGCTGCAACAAAGAAAGGTGTCTGCGGCGCTACATACATGTGTTAGTCGCCGCTTCCGTTACTGGTCCTTCTCAGCTTTCCCCACTACATCCATTCTCAGTCAACAAAACCACGCAGGAGCAGCAGATATAAGCCCAGCAGAGAGACACGGGGAACCAGAACGGGCGGAGCCCGCCCGGCTCACAACTTTCAAATACCGGCATGGACATTGGGGAAGCTCCAGAGTCAAATCTGGGCCGGGCCAGAACAAGCCGATCCATGGAAGCATCAATCTTGGTCGTGCAAGCCCTCGGCAAGTTTTGAGCTACGCTCACCACCAAATCCTAATGAGAAGCACCTCGCCACATGCAAAGGAAACTCGAAATATCTCTCAAAACCTGCCGGAAGGGATTCGGAGGCAGGGTCCCAAACTCACTTTCGCCGGAACCCCTTCTCCTCTTGCTCCTCGACGTCAGCACGGCTCCGGCACCCGCAGACCACGTGGCTCAAAACCACCTGCACGCACGATAAGGGGGTTCGAGCACGCAAGCCCTGGCCCGCGAATTCTCTTTTTTTCCTCCCTCCACCTTCTTCGAAACCAGGTCATATACAGCTCCGTCGTCGTCGTCGTCGCCGCTGGACCAGCTTGGGCACCACTCCTCGGTCTCGCCAATGACGGACTTCCCGTTGTGCGGGCGTCGGCTGCCAGACGAAAGAGGACCCAGGGCGCCTGTAGGTGGGCGTTGGCGATGGTAGACGATTGGGGTGGAGGCTACTGGGAGCAATGGGCCAGTTTAGATAGGGAAGGTGCCGGTTGAGGGGGTTCGAAGGGGGATTTTCCTTTTTAGAAAATGTCTCTAAGGATTTAGAGAGGGGAAATATTCGGGATCTGGGGGGTGGGGGGTATGGTCGAGTGGGCAGGGGGCTGGGGGTAAAATCGGCGCCGGGGTTAGGTCGGAGGGGTTGGGACTTTGAAGGAAGGTGGACAGCATGGCGGGATGATTTGTTTCGTCTTTTTTTTTTTTTTTTTTGGTTGGAGAATAGGGGCTGGCAGGGGCGGTTTCTGGGTGATTTTGAATATTCGTTGAAGGGATTCGGCGCGGAGAGAGTGTGTTGTTCGTAGGTTCTGATTTTTAACGAAAAAAACTCCCGATGGGGAGATTGTTCACGCTTGAGTACTCCCGGCCTGCGCACTTTTCTCAACATGGACCGCCATGCCCAAACTGAACAGCCCGTGATGCCCTTTATTGGGGGCGTTGCCTCGTTCTACTCGGCTTCGAATATCCGACAAAGTCGCGAACGACAAAAACGAACAGAGTCGTCGGGCATAGCGGACGACGACAACAACAACAACAACAGAGAAGACGAGACTTAGCCGCAACATGATTCCGTTCTTTCTTGTTTCTTCTTTTTTTTTTTTTTTTTGCCGAACAAACAAGTGCTCACGACCAAACCTCAGCCAGCTTCACTCACGAAGAAAAAGGGGGGGCGGTTCAGTCAGCCCGCTTCGGAGCAATCCTCATATCTGCTCAATACTGGGGAGAAAAAAGACGACCGAAGTGTAAACATCGGGGTATCTCGAACCCCTATATCCCATCGACTGCCACGCGCGCAGCAAAAAAATAAGCCACCGCACCGGGTTTTTCTCCCCGCCCCATTTGCGCCTCTGCTATGCATGCTTGTGTGTGTGTGTGTGAGAGAGAGGGAGAGAGAGGGAGAGAAAAGGAAGGAAAAGAAGCAAAGCAGGAGTAAACGCCATCAACGCTCCCTCCCTCCCTCCCTCCCTCCCCTCCCGAGATGGCAGCCAGCTCCATTCCCGCCTTTCCTCCCCCTCCCCCAATGCGCACGCTCATAAGATCATGTGGAAAAAACCCGGACAAGCTCTGCTCCCCCCCCCCCCCCACCCCCACGCCTCCCAGAGTGTTCTTGCCCAAACCCCACCGCCAACGCGCCTGTGACACCCCCCGGCCTTTTTTTGTTCACCTGATGACGCCAACTTCCCTTGCCAGGCCCCTTTTAGCCTCGCCCGCGCCCCCGGGGCCGGCGCCCTTCTTGCCGCCGAACGCGTCCCAGAAGCGTAAGGTTTCGTCCCCCGCGCCCGTGACGATGACGTTGCCGTCGGGGCTCATGGCCAGGTAGAGGACTCTGTACGTGTGCCCCGTCAGGCTGACGACTTGGTGCATGCTGGGGTACTTCCAGATATTGATAGCGTTCTGGGAGTAGCCGTGCGTGCTGACCAACTCGCTCGTCAGGCTCGAGAACATCAGGTTGCAGACCTGGCTGCCCGTGTCGTGGCTCCTCAGCAAGTGGGGGTTCGTGGGCGGCGGGGAGAAGGTGGCGGCGGGGTCGGTGAGGGAGGTCGGGGGTTGAGGCGGTCGAAGTTGAGGTTCGTGGACGCGTATGCCGAGGTGGAGATTGCGGCGTTGGCCGAGTTTTGTGCCGTGGAGACTGTGTTCCAGAACTTGATGCACCGGTCCGCGGTTCCGCCTCCGGACGCCAGGAGACCGCGTTGGTGCGGTGACCAAGCAATGGCCTTGACGGCTGCTTTGTGGCCACCTTCTTGCTCGCCCCAGCGGTGCAGCCAGCGGTCGTCGAGGCCCTCCCATACAAAGACTTTGTTGTCGTTGCCGCCAGAGGCCAGTTGTCCCGTGTCCGAGTTCCAGCGCAG